CACACACCACCACACACACACACACACACACTACTATATATATATATATATATATATATAAAAATATATACCACCCAACACACCTCAACGCGCCCATGTCGCAGTACTCCAGTAAGATGTAGAAAGACACTGACTCAGGCGCATCCACCATGTGTGGCTGGTTGGTGATGTCGCCCAGAGCAGCCCGTTCGTTTGTCTTGGCTGAGCTTGTGTAGGACAAATTGCCGCCGTTGTGGAGACTCTCGGCGCCCGAGGTGTCGGCGCCGGTGACGTTGACGCTGTCAGACCCACCCGTATGGCTTAGGCTCAAATCTGTGTGAAAGCAGCGGCAGGTGTGGGTTATAGCACGGACTTGGAAGGAATGGCCTGGATACACGCATGGAGAGCGCAAGAGTGAGATGTACGGTAGGGGCACTGGGAGATAGCATTAGGCACATATAGAAATGGCCTAGACGTACGTCTGGGAGAGTGACAGGCACGGGCATACAGTAGGAGACGTGGGCTATAGCAGTAAGTGTATAGAAATGGCCTAGACGTACGTCTGGAAGAGTGACAGGCACGGGCATACAGTAGGAGACGTGGGCTATAGCAGTAAGTGTATATAGATGTCCCACACGGCATTCACTCACCCACCGTGGTGGATGCGTACGTAGTCACATACCAGTAGGGTCATTGGAACAGGACAGACCCAGGAACGAAACAATGTTCGCATGGTTGAGGGACTTCAGCAGCTGAGCCTCGCGCATAAACACTTCGCGTGACATGACACTGCTCTCCTGCAACGATTTGACAGCGCACATGGTGGCCACCCCTTCGTTGAACACAACGGCACGGTACACGTGGCCGTACGCGCCTTGGCCCACCTGTGACGAAATAAGGCGTGACGGAATAAGGCGTGACGGAATAAGTGTGTGAGGAATTAGCGTGAGAGAGAGAGAAAATAGCGTGGCATCATATAGTGGTTTCGGATTTGGTGCGTGACGAAGCAGTGCCTTGCCAGAGGATCTGGAGTGTCAGGATGCTGAAGGTTTGGTGCGTGACTCTGGTGTGAAAGTGCAGTGTTTGATATGGGTATTTGAGGTGCGAGAATTTGGGGAGATATTAGGAATAGGAATGTCCAGATTCCTGGTGCGAGGAATCGCTAAGTCCGAGTATAGGGTGTGGACGTTTACTGTTATAAGGATGTGCAAGCATGTATACACGTATACTTCCATACATACGGATAGATAAACAGATACACGCACGCGCACACACAAAACAGTTCCGTATGCAAACATCGAATCATAAACACTAATTTTTTTGTCCCCAGTTCTCACACACACCCCTTTTACTATACATCTGGT